AGGGTTTAGGGTTTAGGGCTTATGCAACAGAATGCACATCCCCCAATAAACCCTGAACCCAACTCAACAAAAAGCGCGCGCAGACACGGAGATGCTGCAGAAACCCACTGATCCGTAAACCCAAACCTCTGCACCCTGAAGCCCCTCGGCCCCTANNAACCCTAAACCCTAAACCCCCGTTTGAAAGCCTCAAGTCGGAGAACCCCGAGGATCGAGCTTCGCGTCTGCCGTCGCAGCAGGTCGCCGCTGGAGGCAGCGTGACTTCGGCTCCGGTCCAGCGTCACCTCCTTCGGCTTCTCCTGCACAGAAGGCTGTCTGGTGCTTAGTAGGGAATGGGCTTAGGGTTTTGGGTTTCGGGTTTAGGGTTTAGGGTTTAGGGACTATTACTATAAGGGACCTTAAGGGACTATCATGGGGATCCATTCCCCCTCCCTACTAAGCACCAGACAGCCTTGGGCTTCTCCTCCACAGAACGCGATGGTGTCGGCATACAAGGACCCCGCAAGTATCCGTTGATAGAGACCTTATGTTCCTAAATAGTAGGTATTTGTGATCTATATGTCTCTCTCTCTGTCTCTCTCTCTCTCTCTCTATATATATATATATATATATTATAGGGTAGAGGGTAGTGGGGGCTTAGGGGTTTAGAGAGTGCTTGACTAGGAGGTTGGGGCTAAGGGCGTAAGAGGATCAGGCGGGGGCATAAGCGGCTTAGGGGGTGGACTCCAGCTTGCATGGGCTTTCCGATTTAGGGTTTACTATAGGGGCCTTAATAATTAGAATAGGGTGTAAGGAACCCCCCCCACAAAAAAATAGTATAGGTAATTCTTTAGGCCCCTATACTATAATAGGGTTTAGCTTTGGAGGATCACAAAGCTTCATACGGGGTCTGTCTTTTGCGATCTTTCCGGCGCCTCCAACATTCAGGGCGGTATCGGGCTTATGGTGTTGTGTGTCTTCGAAGGGTATGCAGGCTGGGATGTGTGGAAACTGGGTGGGACCACGTGGGACAGTTGAAACACGACTTATGGAAATCTCAGCTTTGACATATCCTTAATCCGAAACCCCAAACCCAGTGGGAATCCCGTGTCTAAAAACTTAGAACGGGCGGCCTAAACCCTAAACCCTAAACCCTAAACCTTAAACCCTAAACCCTAACGCCACAGACAGGGACTTGGTGCTGCAAGGGAACAGCAGTAGGTTGTAAAAGTCACAGGAACGTAGGACGGCGGGTCTGTGGTCTTGAAGGATTTAGAACGAAGCCCTGAGGAATAGGACGAAATATTTTACAGACTAAACATAAATATGGAACACTATAATACTAAGTGTTTATAGATTAAATATAAATATGGAACATTATAATGCTAAGTGTTTAGATTAGAGTATAGAGCGGGCGTAGAGGCGTCAAGGTTGGATTGTAAAATCAAGCTAAGCCCTGCAAATGGCAAAGCCCCAACCGTAAAGTCCGACAGCCCGAGTTTAGAGTACAGGGTTTAGGGTTTAGGGGATCACAGAAAAAACGTGAACCTACCTATCCCAAAACAGCCAAAAAGGGTGCTTCCCACCGCCACTGCCACTGCCGACGGTACCACCACCGCAACGACCAGGACCTTTACCAATGCGACTACTAGCACCACTGCGATGATAGCTTTTTGTACTTGGTGGTGGTGGTGGTGGTGGTGGTGGTGGTGGTGGCGGCGGCGGTGGTGGTGGTGGCGGCGGCGGTGGCGGTGGCGGTGGTGGTGGTAGCAGCAGTGGTAGTAGTAGGAGTAGTAGTAG